CACTCCATTTGTGTATTTAATTTTCAATCGAAAAAAAAGAATTGGCCAGCTAATTGAATATGAAAATAATAGTTAGTTGCAGCCCCAGTGCTGATCCAATTGCCCCTTTCTGGATCACATGACTAGAACTACTTGTTCTGTTTCAATTACTACAAAAGCATTGCCACCATCAGTTAGCACGACAGCCAGGAAAATATAATTTTAAGTGGAACCGCAGCCCCCCTTCTGCTTTTAATTTTTCCTCATGACAGGTTTCCTTTAACAGCTCACTGTTTATAGGACAGTACTTCTGATGTGGGCTGCTTTCAATGAGCTAACATGTAGGCCTTGTCAAGTGCAAGGACAGATATGTTATCATTGCTTCAGAACATTAGTTGCCATATATATCCTAAATCTAGTTTTAGAAACTCATGCATTCTCTGGAGGCAGGCATGTCACTTCACTGTGAAGGTCCAAATCTATTATATAAAGGTTTATACGGAATGCTGGCAACCTATGACCGGTGACTTGGCAATTTAGATTGTAAAAGTACACCTCCTTACACGGTCCATGTCCATAAATGACCTTCAAACACTAGCGTCAAATAAAAAGTGGTGCAAATACGTCTGTGATATTTTATACAAAGTATTAAGTCATTGGCAATGTAGAAGAAACTGAAGATGGTGTCATTGTCTGTTTTTTTTCCTATACTAATTGTTTAAATTAGGGATGCACCGATACCGATTCTAGTATCGGTGCTGATACCGAGTATTTGAGTATTCGTACTCGCCAAATGCTTTGAAACCTTCCCCGATACTGGAACTTCCGGTCAGTGGGAGATTTCCTCTGACCTGCAGTGCCGCAAGCTGGTTTCCTTTCCAATTAGGAAGCCAGGCGGTGGGTAATGACTTGCCGTCTGGCTTCCTGATTGGCCGGGAAGCTGGCTCATGCTGATTGGCCGGGAACCCAGCTGATCAGCATCAAGCCGGCCAAACGGCATAGAGCTGGTTTCCGGGCCAATCAGGAAGCCGGGCGGCTGGTAATGACCTACCTCCAGGCTTCCTCACTGGCAAGGAAGCTGGCTCCATGCTGATTAGCTGAGAAGGCGGCTTCCCGGCCAATCAGTATCGAGCCAGCCAAGCAACCGGTTCGATGCTGATTTCCTGGGAAGCTGGCTTCCTGGCCAATCAGCATCAAGCTGGCCAAACATCATGGAGCCAAGCCCATGGACATCACTGGTAGCTAATGCCCCTTACAAATGACAGCGAGCACCTAGCTTTTGAGGTTTTCTTTAGTTGTCAGTGGAGTTGGCTCCTGGATTGGACAGACCAGCTCCTGAATTCCATATTAATATGTCCACCCTTGGCTTATTGACTTTGCTGCTGTGTAGTTTCTATGATTACAGCAAATATGGTGATGTCAGGCTGTTGAATTTTATTATGTACAGCTAACATCACAGGAACGTTGGTTATTTTCTCTCACTGTCTGTCATTTTTGTGCTATTTGTATTAACTTGGAATGTTTTTTGAAGTGACCCTAAACTCAGGAGCTAAAGTGCCTTAACTAATAAAAGGAGCGAGCTTGGAGCGGTGACTACTTTACAAGACACACAGGGACCACGGGGAACAAAAGTAGTCACCCTCCAGAAGGAAGGACCGCGTAAGCATGAATTCAGAGATGATTTGAAGATCTACAGCCGAGTGATACACAAATAAGATACATTTGTGTTAATACTTTTTTTAAGATTTAACTCCTGAATTTAATGTCACTTTAATATATTTATTTACAGTGAATACTTGCAAGCATCGAGTAAACACAGTGGGGGGAATTGATCAAATCTGGAGCAGCTGTGCACAGCAACCAATCAGCTTTTATCTTTGATTTTCAAATCATAACTGAACAAACTGAATAGAGAAGCTGATTGGTTGGTTGCCATGCACAGCTGCTCCAGACTGTGTCTGCTCCAGTCTTGCTAAATTCAACCTCAAGGCAGGTTCACATTGTTTCCGGACCAGATCTGGTCCGGAAAATGGTGTGAACCTGCCCGTAGTTCCAGTGCACTCCAGACCAGACAATATGAGACATGCAGTATTTGTCTGGTCTGGTCGGACTATGCTGGTGTGAACAGAGGCCAGAAATAGCATAGGGATATATTAGGATGCATTTTGGGTCCGGAAACTATCTGGTCTGTTCTGCAGATGATCTGGATGTGGTGTGAATGGGCCCTTAAAGTTCTTTTTCAATGTCCATGTTCTCTCTTATTCCTTTTTAAAAGAGGAAGGAAAGCATAGTTCACAGAAAGGATGGCCACTAATATTCCATGACACATAAATGAGAACTTGGCAGGGATTCTATAGTACACAGCAGTTCTGAGAGCCAAAATTACATTTGCATCATCAAAATTATACCAACAGACTTGCAGTCCATAAATAAGGGATTGATTTACTTTTGTACATCTACTTTATTTTAGACAGTTGTTGTTACTCGAACACAATGCACCTAAGTAGATGACTGCTTTTAGACTTTTACCATAGGCTCGTGAAAGATGAATGTTGTTTGGTTGCTGTGGGTTACTACCTCATACATCATTATTTGACTTTCCGAGTACAGGCATGAAATGTTATCTGTAGTTGGTATGCTCTGCTTAAGGCCTAATGCACACAGGCAGAAAAAAGAAAGCTTTTGAGTCATTTCTTTTTTGTTAATGCCTCTGATCACAGTTCTTTTTTAGCACATTGTAGTGTTTAGATCTGTATTTTAGAGCAACATTCAGGGGCATCAAATTAAAATGCCCCAAACCTGTTTTCGTAATGAGCTCACTGGCATAATTTACGCAATTGAACGCATGTATGTATATAACCAATAGAATTAGTTTATGAGCATACTCAATATTATTACCACATTATACATAAGTGCCCTTTAATATAATACATGTATCATATCAAACAAGTACACGTAATTGTGAATACAAACCGTACTCCTACAAAAGTAAGAATTAAATAAACATGTTCACTTTAAGCCTGATGAAGGGGACCCTGTGCGGCCCCGAAAGCGCTTGTTTCCACTTTAAGTGACTTCAAAAATAAAAATGAAGATTCACTAAAACCTTGACGTATTCTGTCATATTTGGAGTGCTGATGACATCTATATATAACTATTTTACTTGATACGGCGCCATCCGTAGTCATTGCGAGCACCCATTTTTCCACATGGGAAGTCCGGTAAGGTGTGCTACAGGTCCTTGGACATTCGTACAGTAGAAACAGTCGCACGCCTTCCATACCCCTTGTGATTATCATACGATTGCGGGATTTACCGCGATTATCGTACGATAATCGCAAGGTGTATGGGCACCTTTAGGGTTACCAGCTTATCTCTTCACTGTGATCCTCCATCCACGGGCACCGCTCACACTACCTTCCTATTAGGGCTCAAATACAGACATACACATGCTTCATAGTGTAGTTCTTACTTAAAACCAGCTTTATTTAAGATCCAATATGCACTTACATAAATAAAAAAATTTTGTTCATCCAAATAGATAAAAACCGCTCTGGCCGGCTCAAAATCCTACTGCTCGATTCCTTCCTGCGGAGTGACATCACCAAGCACCGGCCAGACGTGTTTCATCCGATGACTTTCTCTGTGGACAGTGCACTTGATCGTGCCGACCAAAGATTACTCGCAATTTGCGTTGCGCTCAAATATCCATAGCGCAAGGCTGTGCTGGATGGGAGTATGGGGGTACAGAAAGTACACCTGTACCAACGGGCAAGTATAGCGGGAGGTGGGGAGAGGGGGCCACATTTGAGCTGGTAATTCCATTTTCCCAAATTACTTGGAAAAGTGAACTTACACTTTAATGCACGTTGTACATGTTAGAGAGCACTGCTGCCTGCTACTACAATATGGCACACAGTGGAATGGGGGCAGCACGCAGAACAATGCCCTACACGTGCGTTTATTCGCATGCAGATGGCGGGGGCAGCAGGGTTGATTTAATTTCTTTAATTGTTATTTAATTTTTTTTACTTTATCTTTTTTTATTTTTTTATCACTTTTTTTCCCCACTTAACTTTATTGCTATCACACAGGGGATAACAATCCCCTATGTGATAGCATTTGGAGGTGACAGGTTCTCCTTTACAGCTGAGACAGGAAGGCTATGAGTACAGCGCTCCTGTCTCACTGATCACAGAGCAGATCGGAGAACAGACATTCTCCGGTCTGCTCTCCATGCTGAAGTAATTTGCCATGGTATCGGGTCCCCCAGACCCCCCTATTCTGGGGGACCCTGAAAAACGCTGCAGGTGGGACAGACCTTGTAGAGGGTGGAGTGACAAGCAGGTTGCTATACAAGCCGCCCAGATCAAAACGATCAGCGGCTTCCCCACTCTACATATTGCCCTGCTTGCCTGAAAGAGGACTAAATGTAGTAAAAAAAAATTAAAAAAACAAACACAGAAGAGTTACAAGCAAATAGGAGATCACAGATCCACCATCCATATACTTGCAGATGAACACCATATTGGTGTTAGTGTGATATAAGTGCCCACTGGAAAGTGTCCTCTGAAATTGCTATGTTCTACTTTAGGAATGAAATTTCAATGTAGTCTGTTGATTAATAAGCAAATGCTTTCCATTTGTCATATAAAAGTGCATGTCTGCGACAATATGAAAAATAAACATGACTGTTAGACTAAGGGTTTTTTATATGGAATGGATTGATAAACTGTATTTAAATTATATCTAAACCCAAAACTGACCGCCGTGTCTCTGATGGGGAGAGTCACTCTTTCTATTGTCCTGGTGACCATAGTCCCTGGGACAGAAAGTGATGGGGAAACCAAAATTTAAACCTGTCACTGAAACAGGAAGGACAGCGGTTCCGGGATTTCCCTTTTAGTTTAGAGACATTTCCTCTTATTGGTTTTAGATATACTTTACATATTCTTAACATTTTCTTAGGATCCAGTATATTGACTGTGCTTGATGTAACTCTGTGTATGCTCTCTGTTCAGGTACTTGATTGACAGTCGTTGGTTCAAGCAGTGGAAGAAGTATGTGGGTTTTGACAGCTGGGACAAGTATCAGATGGGAGATCAGAATGTGTATCCAGGTCCCATTGATAACTCGGGACTCCTCAAAGGTCATTCTCTAATATTCTTGATTTTGCAATGAAAATGTTGTGACTTGTATATGTTACATTATTTTGGAATGCCTGTCTCATATGGCTTTAATGCTGTCCTCCTCTGCAGCACATACTTACCTTCCTGTTGGTCCCCCACCACTCCATTCAGCCACAGGAAGCAAGGAAAGGACACCCTGTGTAAGCTTTTAGGCGCACAAGTCTGAGGACTTTCTCGCAACCCCAATGTGACAAAGCTGGGCCGATCACCAAGTAACAGTATTGTCATATGGGGAAAAAAGGGAGTGATGTGCTCCTCAATACCTGGAAATAATGGGTATTTTCTGTGCTCCTGGTGGCTGAGGAAGGCGGGGAGCAGAAAACAACCTAAGGCAGGTCACAAATCTCACTACTCATTTCCTTTAGTTACAGGGCTTTCTATTTTATTTCTATGATCTACTCTAATTCATTGTTCATTTTCTTTAGCTCCCAGAACTGCAGAGCTTTGCATTAGTTTTCAACACCCCCATCTAGAACTTTTTCACATTTTGTACTGTTACATTAAGATTCAAATAAATATTCAACCTCAGTCATTCATTTGTAGAATCACCTATGACTGCAGTTACCACTGTAACTCTCTTGGGTTAACTCTGCCAACTTCGCACATCTACAACAGGAATTTTCTTTGATTGGGCCCTTCTACCACATTTTACGTTCTTGGTTTTAAACCACTCCAGCTGACTGTTTCTAGGGACATTGCCTGGCTGGAAGATGAGCCTCCACCCTGGTTTCTTGGACACTGAAACAAATTTCCTTCTGGAATTACCATCTTGTCCTTAACCAGTTTCCCAGTCCCTGCTTATATAATCATTCTCACAGGATGATACTACCAAAGCGGATAGTGTTATGTGATGGGCAGTGTTGCTTTTCTGCCACACAAAGCATCAAGGCAAAATGTTACCAGAAATCTTGTCAGCTGACAACTTCCTGTGCTCTCTGCCTGTTCTGCATTGTTATCTTTTACATTGTCCTGGATTATCTCTCAGGACTAACAGAACGTCTCCAATCTTTGTTATGGAGAGGCAGGGGTTCTGTAGTTTTGTTTCTGTTGTCCTGATAAAGTAGGGTGAGTGAGCCTTGTCACCCTAGGACAGGAAATGTGTTACTGGCAGAATCACCAGGTGTAAAAGAAGCTTGGAAAAAAACAAATGCAGCCGCTACGTTTAAGGATTGGTAAGCTGCAATATATGACATTTTGATGTTGTTTAAAAGCTTGCAATCTTCTTCCTTTTTTTTTTTTTTTTTTTTTTTTTTTTTTTTTTTTTTTTTTTTTTTAATATAACAAAATCCTTTTTGTTGCTTCTCCAGATCTCATTTTTAGATTGTGATGCTGTAATTGCACATAGGTGGACCCCTTTCAACTAATTATGTGGCGTCTAAAGGCAATTAGTTGCTCCTGAGCTTATTTAGGGGTTTCACAGGACAGAAAGTGAATACTTATGGAATCAAGATTTTCAGGTTTGTTTTTGTAAATAATTGAAAAACTTTATACATCTTGGACATTGACTGTGCAGCAACCTAAAATCCCAGTTAAATCCACTTTAATGTCAGGCTGTCACAATATAATATTCCAGGGGTTAATACTTATGCAAAGCACTGTAGTTAACCATCTAATGTGTATTATTTCATCCCGACATGCTGATGCAGCTCAAAAGCAATACCAGACAAATGAGGCTGTCACCGCTTTTAAAATGTTGGTGATATTTGAACCTTTGACGTAACATTATTTTTGGACATTGGGAAATACTGTTTTTTCGGAAAGTGATTTCAGTGCTTTCTTTTTTATTTTTAGGGAAACTATGGTCTTTTCAATTTGTCTAGCTGTTCACATGATTGTGATCATCTTAGTGTAAATAACCTTATAATGATTGTTTTGTAATGCTTGTTTCAGTGCATAGTTTGAAAGTATATACTATACTTTCGTAGGGACAGATATATTTTCTTCCTACACTTGCAAGCTCTTTTCTAATTGGTAGGTCTGAATAATAACTGCAATTCACTTCTCTTTCCTAGCACAAGGCAGTGGTTCATTCTGTTTAGTGATGTGTGGGAGCTTGGTGCCAGCCAACAAGTTTGCCCGAGTTCACTGATACACCGCCTTCCTACCCAATCCGTTGTGGCTGGGGCAATTTCCACCCCGCAGCTACACTTCACAAAGTGGCAGGGGAGTTCCCTACCCCTTTGTGACGTTTAACTGTGGGGAAGGAATGACCCGGCCACAACTGATTGGGCCGGGAGAGGAGTGTGGCAGTGACAGTTGTGGCCGAACTCGAGTACACTTGCACACTAATTTTGACCTGGTTGCATAACAACAGATTCCAAGCGAGTTTGAGTAGTTATTGACCAGGGATGATAATCTAATTCACGGGTGACGAATAGAATAAGTGTATACAATGCTGTTTATGAAACACAATAATAAAAATATGGAGCTGCATGAATGCAAAAGTGGCGTTAAAGGTTAAGTTTAGATTTGGGACTATGTTACACCCATTTTCAGGGTGTACCATAATACAGGTGAAACTCGAATAATTAGAATATCGTGCAAAGTTCATTTATTTCACTAATGCAACTTAAAAGGTGAAACTAAAATATGAGATAGACTCATTACATGCAAAGCAAGATAATTCAAGCCGTGATTTGTCATAATTGTGAGGATTATGGCTTACAGCTCATGAAAACCCCAAGAACCCCAAATCTACAACCTCAAAAAAGTAGATTATTACATGCAATCAATAAAACAAGGATTGTACATAGAACAATATCGGACCTCTGAAAAGTACAAGCATGCATATGTACTCAGTACTTGGTTTGGGCCCCTTTTGCAGCACTTACTGCAATTACTTTTGCACGATATTC